CCTGTGTTGTATTCGGGGTAGGCCAGTCCAGGCCGGTACCTCTGTCGGTACCAGCCAGTCCAGTCCAGTCCCGTCAGTCCGCTGGGGTATACCCCAGCCATTGTCTGTTTCACCCTCATTCTTCACTTGCACATTTTGGAGTACGTGCGTTGGAGTCTTGCGTGGGGAGCTGCGCAGTGCACCTTGCTCCCTCCTTCCTCCATCTCCATCTTTGTCACTAGCGGAGCACCACACCTGGTGGGTCTGCTACACCTGTTGCCTGTCCCGTTTGCTTCACATGTGGTTCTTTGCGGGTTGGTGCATTCACTGTGTGGTGTGGCCGTGTTGTTGGTGTTGCCTTGCGCTTTGCTGCTACGCTCCCTTTTTGCCCTTCTGCTGATCGTGCCTTCTGTGTTTGCTGCTTGCGGGCCTTGTTGGGTGGTTGCCTTGTCGAGCTGCTGGTCTGCTTGCCCTGTCGCCCCTTGCAGTGTGGTTGCCTTGTTTGTGGTGCACTGTGCTTCACTACATGGTTGCCGCGCTACATGTCCTGCGTGCCATGTCGTTTCTTGTAGTCGTTTTCAGCGTTGTGCAGCCGTGTTGCCTCTACTGTGTTGCTTGGTGCTCCACAGGGTTGCTGGCCGCTGCTATGTTTCGCTTGGGGACAGTCTGCCTTCAACAAGGGTCAAAAGGGTTCATGACCCAAACCATCAAATACGGAGATTCCGCAGATTGTCGAGGGCTCAGCCTCCTGATGAGTCAGTGCAACTCCGACGAAACAATCTATCATCTGTTTATTTTTTTCGCTTTTTCTTTTTTCAGGACTTTTGTTTGCTGTGGTCTTTTCCCTGCTTTTTCTGCTGGTGATGCCTGGCTAATTGATCACACCCACCTGGAACAGGAAGGGGTGGCACTACCATGGTGTCGAATGTGCTTCACAGCCTTCCCCCCACGGAAATGGAATGAGACCATTGAACACATTTTCCTGCAGTGCCCGGTGGTGGTACTGACGTGGCGCTGGTGGGACCGGGTGTGGTGTAAGATGATACTGGATACACCTTGGCCGTGGTCCTGGCGAGCAATCCTGACTGGATACTGCCCGGCAATGGCTACGGCATCTTCCCACGCGGAAAACTGGTTCAACCTGGGCTGAAGAACAATCCTTTGGGCCCTGTGGTGGCAACGCTGCCTTCTCAACTTGGAAAGCGTTAGAACAGGGGATGGGGAGCTCATAGGAGATATTAAGGAACAGGTTCAGTTGGAATTGCTACGCAGATGGCATGACCTGAAACACCAGCTGGATACTTTTCAAACGGACCAAGATATCAAGAGGGCTCTCACTGTCTTTTGCACAGACTGGCTTGGGGGGGACCGAGGGGGATGGGTGGCCAGGGTACAGTGCGGAGGGGACCAACTGAGAGGGGACCAGCCGCCCAGAGCGGCACAGGGCATCTCCAGAGATTACCGCCTCGTTTTCAATGATTGGACTAATTTTGAGCCCTCCTTCCCTATGACCCTCTTCCTCTTCTAATTTCCCGGACCCCTTGCCCCTTCACCCGCTTTCTTTAGTCGAGACCCTCACTTGAGGTATCCCACACCCATCGTCCAGGAATCGCCGCACGGTGCCCCCCGGTGCAGCAAAAGTTTCTGCAACAGTTTTTGGCCCGTGCAAGTCTGCCAACATCCCGGCGGTGACAGGAAGTGTGGGAAAGGAAGAGGTGTTCAATCTGGCGGCCGAACCAGGGCTGAAGAGATGTCTCTGCAATGCTGTCTCCAAGTGAAGTGCATCACACAACGCTGGACTGCTCAGTCAATCCTCTGGATTCCAGAGTAATCAATGCTGGCAGGAGTCTTACACATCCTTTTTTCCTGAGATACTCCAAATTCAATCTGTATATGGGATGCTGGACCCGTTTTCCAGCAGGTGCTGCCCCCCACCAATACATGGAGCCTCTCCTCAGGTGCTAGTGGTGTCTGCTCTTACCAGCACCTGAGCATCACTAACACTGGAAGGGGCGTTTCAAAAAAAAAAAAAAAAAAAAAAAAAAAAAGTAATACGATGGATGTTGGAATTTTGAGCAATCCTATTGGGCTTTACCTTGTGAGGTGACGTTGAGGTGGAGCATATACTTGTTATGTGCTGAGGCCTCCACAACATGTGTTTTCACACACATCTTCCCACACACGCACACACACACAAAAAAAAAAAACACGAACAGGAAGTTTCAAAAGAAATCATGGCGGTAATTCAACGCAACCTCCATTTTTGCCACTGGTAGTTCTCTACACTATGCTACCGGTTGCCCTAATGAACCTATACTACCGCCCCCCCAAAGTTTGTTTTTTTAGTCCATGGTGTTGTAGAGACCAGTCACTGAGTGCACAGATCACCTGGAGCAGTGGGCCGTGGGTGTCCTGGAATATGAAACCACCTCCCATCCCATCCTCACGTCAATCGCGCACCCCCTATCTCACTATCCTACCTCAGTGTGACCAGCACTCAGGACAATTACCCTACCAATGGGCAGGCAACTTGGACCGAACAGCAATGATAGGCACCAGGGCTGATAGGTTGCCCAGCCCAGGTGGAAGCGGAATCGGGCGAGCCTTGTGGAACGGGAACTTCGGACGCCAGGCCCAGACAATCTACTACAGGCCCCAAGAGACTCTGGACCCTAGGTTCAGACAGGGTAGCACCCACTGAAGCAGTCTTACCATCCTTCCCCTAGCTTACCCAAGGCCAGGCGGAACTCGGACTGACCTTAGCGACTTATATCCCTACCCTTACCCTTGGGTCTAAGCCTTATATAGCCACCAGACAGTTCTATCCGAATGTCGGTAGGAACCCCTTACCTGAACCTACTGCAGATACTAGACCCCACCCAGTGAGAAGCCCCCCTCAGTCTGATAGTTGTAGTTCACAAGCTATGTGTATACCCGAAGGCTGTGTATGCTCTGTGAATCTATGTATCGAGATGTACAGACAGCATCATGTGTGGAAACTTGTGTATGTAGCCCGTAGGCCATCTATAGTTCGCAAACTATGTGTATGCCCGAAGGCTGTGTGTGCTCTGTGAATCTATGTATGTGTGTATATCGAAGAGAGAACGGGGCAAGCTGGACAAGGACCCCCCCCAAGGTCCGAAATGAGCTTGAACCCGTGACCTTGTAACATGCAATCGAATGACTCTACCGTATGGACGACTATCGGAAATGGCACGAACGTGTGCTATGCCAGACTGGGGAGATCAACAGAACACCCAAGACCAACACCCCCAAGCAACCCCTGTGAAACCCAGAACACACCTACAACACCACGAACAACCCTTGGGTGGTGCGCAGGCAGTGTCTGTAATAGTACCATGCGTCAGCCCAAGGGAGTGTGTGTCTAGCCGTGCGTCAATCTAACGCCCTGCTGGTGTCCATGCGCAAGGCTGCGGGGTTTTGAACCCGCAACCTTATACCACAACGCGCATTTCCAACCGGTGATCTAACCACTGAGCTACATCAACTGGACCCCCCCGAAAGTTTCTAAATGTGGGGGGAGGGGAGGTTTAAGCCACCAGTACCCCTCTGTCATGGTAGCAGGACAGGCTGTGGCTGGACGAACGTGA